TATATATATATATATATATAATGATTTCCAAAAAACAGCACAACAGTCTTCAACATTGTTAATGAGAAATGTTTCTTGAGCTCCAAATCAGCAAATCTTAGAATGATTTCAGAAGGATCATGTGACACTAAAGTACATTTTACAATACGGTAGAAATTCATGATGTTAATGTTAGTAAAACCTTAATGCCCAATTGTCCACATTTAGCGGCTTATAGCAGGGCAATAGAATAGAGACAGTTTAACTTTGGTGTGATTTACCATGTGCATCTAACTGAAACAGACCCAGACCTTTGTGACTGGCACATCCTATGTGAAACTGCCAGCAGTTAGAAATGCATGTGCCCATGTTGCATTTGTGTGGTAAATACTAATACTTTCAAGGGCATCCAACTCACCTATCCACCACGCACCAACTTAAAACGAAGTTTTAAACATTGCCGGTTACACGTAAAAGAAAATAATGCCTAATCACAAAATTTGAAAAAGTCCTTATTTGTCACAAAAGACACATGCAAGATACAAGTAATACCAGGTGTTAACACCAATATGTCTCACCTGAGCACAAGATTGAATAGCCCGAAACGGATGACAATACAAAGTATAAACAAAGTGTCAGAAAGAAGAAAAAAAAGAGAAAGAAAGAAAGAGAGCTCACTTACTGCAGGTCCCTCCACTGAACATAGGCACTGTCTCAAACACCATCTTGTGAAACAGCAAGGCCACTGGTTTGTACTCCAGCTTATTCTTCAGAAGGTAGCTATAGTAGTACACATATCGCCTCTGACTGGGAATAGTCACTCCCTGTGAAACGGCAAACCTGCAGTGTTAATGCAAACGTCTCCGTCTCAACAACACAACACATTTGCATCATACTTCTGTAAAAGGGTGCAGCAGTTGGGTTCCAGAAGTAAAAAAAATCCCACCCTTTTACTCCAAAGGGGAATTGATTTTTAACAATTACTTACAAACCTTTAAAAGTGACCTACTAGGTTGTTAATTTATGTTATATGCTTTTGTTGATGCCATCAACCCACGTTATTCTAAATTAATTTTTTAGTAATCATTTAACAGAATTCCTGGTTTAAACAAACTACATGACCCATGATACTGCCAAGAAATCTCAACCAATCAGAGAATCGAAATAAGCAAACCGTGTCCAAGGGCTACATAGCGCCCACCCACACAAAGCACTGTGAAAGACGTAATAGAGTCAGTCTCCCTAAGCTCTCAAACTCAGGGCTCCAGACTCATTCTTCCCACTGGTCGCTCTTTTGCGACTAACTTTCTCAGCTGGTTGCACAAGAACAGCGACCATTTTTGAATTTTGTGAACGGGAGATCCTCTTTTGCTGTGTTATAAGTCAGGCTTTGGGTGCTTTCACTTTTGAATTCGCTATCTTGTTCCGTTTTACAAGAAAAGATAATTGTCTGTTTTGCTTACATATACCTTTCACTTTTTAAGACTAAAACAAAAGATGGATTCATTGTTATTCTTAATTAAAAAGCACAACAACAATAAAACAGTAAGATACAATGACAAACTAGCTTACAAAACGTTTAACAAAAACGAATAAGATGAGGCATGGCATACACCACATGCTGTAACCTATTATATACCGACTAATAAATTACAGAACGTTTAATCTTTAAAATTTAATTTCATTAGGTCATTTGCAGTTCTTCATAGAATTGCAGTTCTTTCCCTCAATAAAGTACACAGTTTTGTACCTTTGTCTTTTTGTTCGATATTCAAATACTTTTTTGCTTCATATTTATGTTTGTAAGGTTGTGATTCACCTCATAGCTGGTTGGTTTGATTCATGGCATACACCTCTTTAACAAAGACTTTTTTTTTTTAATTCTCTATGGGAAAAATACTTCTGGAACAAAGGCCACTGAAAAGTGGATGGGCACTGGTGCACTCCACAGAAGAATACTCAGGGGGAAATTATGTAGGTCAGTAGATTTTTATCTACCAGGACTTGACAGGTTCGAAACATATTTGACTATAATATTACTATCATGATAGTAACATTCCTGCCTACATCAGCATGGACTTTTAAAATTTAACCTTGTGATTTACATTTCTATACAAAAACTTAAACTTCACAACTTGAGTTTTTCGGGAAAGAAAACACAAAGCAAAAATATATACATCACCTTCTTGTCTCTGGTTCTAACTTCACCATAGAAGTCCAGAGCCTCTTGTGCTTTTTTGAATTTGCCTCGGTGTAACAAGTACGCACATATCATGACACCCGTACGTCCCTTTCCAGCTTTGCAGTGAATGGCAGCCACATGATTGTCATTTTCACTGAGCCACTTATCCAGATCTTCACAGAAAGGTTTAATGAGTTCTAGCTGAGGAGGATTGTGATCCTCAAACGGATACTGTGCAACTGCAGGAGAAAAATAAAAAGTTAATTAAGACCTTCATCATTACCTCACAAAAACTGACATCACATTTACAAAACCATATGTAAATGGCAGATTTATGCAATCCAAGTATCATACCTCTGCAGTTAAATTTGGCAGTATCATAATGTCTTTCCGCACATCTAAACAACACAAAGAAACTGATAAGTACAAAAGTTCAATGTAACATTTCTGCTAAGAACTTTGCATCAATGCCAAAAGCAACAGAACATTCACAGCTAAATAACAGATCTATTTGCACTGACAATGCCCTCCATTCACAATGATCAAAAAGCTTGTTTTTCTTTAATGTTCAATCGAACACAATTGCAGATTTTCTACTTTTAACAGCAAACTGGAGGAAATGTTCTAGCAGTAAAAGCATTTTACAGAACTGAAGTTGTTTGAAACACACTTACAGATTATATATCTTGTAATGATTTTTATGCTTTGAATCCAGGAATCTGCAGAAAGAGGACAACAATTACTTTCCCAGATAATCACGGTTGGTTTTGGAGTTCACACAAAAATGAAAATCCTAAGATTTTTGTTCATTTTTAAAACACAAAGATATAAATCAAACCACTGGAGAGATTTCGGTCACGCCATTGAAAATCACTCCACCAAATTTTTGATGCTTCAAGAGGTTCATAAAGACATTAAAACGTTATGCACCATAATTGATAAGTTCAATCCAAGCTTACATTCACTTAGAAACACCGATCAATGCACATACATAAAACATATTGAATAGGCAGTGGCTATTTGCACTAAGTGTAAATAGCAATAGAGGCTTTTTACACTAAGTGCAAACAACAATGGATTCTAATTACACCAAGTGAAAATAGCAGTATTTATTTAACGATATGCTATTTACACTAAGTGCAAATAGCTATAGATTCTATTTGAACTGTTAAAATAAGCAGGGTTTTCTGCTATTTATACTATTTAACGCAAATAGTGGCAATTATCTGCACCTCAGTATTGCAGTACATTGTAAAACAGTATGCAATAACGTATCAAGTGTAAATTATTAATTTTAATTCAAATTATTAAATGGATGTCACCTTATTGGGACAATAAAGCCCTCCCTACTCCTACCTTAACCCTACCTGATACTTTATTTTCAACTTTTTTATTATTTCCTTCATTTTTATTGAAAAAAAAAAAGCCTTTTAGATGTGATGAGATTTGAAAAGAAAGGGGAAAAAAAAGTTATACAAAAGGCGGGTTTGAACCCGGGTCGATCGCGTCAAAAAGACTATGATGCACGCATTACCATCTACGCCACTGGAGCTGACGTTTGACAGCCGTCTTTTGTAGTGTTGACTAGCCCAATCACACGTTGGTGGTCAAAGTTAGTGTAAATAGCCTCTGCCAACAAGGTGGGATATTTGCACTTAGTGTAAATAGACACTCCGTACTGAATATGGTAAAAGGAAGCTCAACGGTAACTGCTCAATGTGCAAGAACAAACCTCACTGGTTCTTGTAGAAGCTCAAATGTGCTTGCCTGATATGCGAGAACTAACCTCATTGTTTCTTCCATTTACCATATTTGATGTGCTTTATCCATCCAACAATAATCAATGTTTATATATGAATAAAAATCTAAATTAAATCTTTTATTACAAAATTAAAACATATTATAAAGTGATCACGTCTCTTCAGATTTTTTTTTTTATTGAACTGTTTGATAACATTATGAACTTTTTGAAGAGTCAAAGTTTTGGTTGAACGGCAGGACGACAATCTCTTAGGTTTAGTTAAAATATCTTTATTTGTCTTTAGCATATGTCTTTCTAGAGTGACAAAAGGCTGAAAACAAAGGTTGTGTGGAAAGTTATTATATAGAGATGGTTTTGGCGTGTTTTATGCAAATGACTAACTTGTGCATGCGACCGTCAGATGTCAGACAATTAAATTATAATTACAATTATTATTATTACAATTTTTTTTTTACAATACAAATAAATATTTGGCAAACAAAATGAGATGACAAAGACATTCTCAATCACCATTTAATTAACTGTATGAAAAAGGAACTGTCTGATCTCTAATTCAACATTCTTTCATTCTTTTCTTCTTTTGTTCAGAACATAATCTCTCTTAAAACACCTTATAGTGTTACAATAATCAAAGCAGTTCATTGCTAGATTAAGCTTTAATTTAAAAGTGGTAGGCCTAATTCTAACTGAAAGAGACACTGACTGACACAGTTTTATCATGTTAAATTCTACAAAGCGGCTTGGTTTACAGCAATCAATTGTATAAAGTGCTATGTAAATTAACGTGACGTAACTGGACTTTACTGGAGTGCGGAACTGCAGAGCTGGTGCAAACCTCCACATCGCTATGATCAGACGCTTGTCGATAATGTCAACTAATCGTTTCAGCCTTACAGTATAAGCATGTGTTGTGAATTAGTTTGAATGTGCATGTAAATCTACGCAATTATCAGTGCATGAGACCCAACGTCACTAAGGAACTATGGATGACTAGAAAAAATGTCTAATGCACTGAATTGTTGGTGGAACTTAAATACATTTTAAATATTTTCTGCACAATCAAGGCTAAGATTTACAGTCAAGCAATTAAAATCACAAATGCATTTATTCGTATGACAATGGAATGGCATATTGAATGACACACAGTCTAACATTAGTTGCACATTTTATAAAATGTCACTGAAGGTGACTACCACACTGTAAACTGATAAAGCAGTGCATCAGGTCATTTCAGAGGTTCTGGCTGTAACTATCACAGCAGTTTTTTCTGGTTTTGCTACAACATGGGTTGCAAATGTTATAAGAGACTTACAGACACAAATGTTATACTGACAAAATTTCCAAAGAATATAAAAAGCGAATACTTACCGCACTACATCATCTATGTTGTTTCTGTAGACACCCTCAAGTCTTTCAGCAGGAAAGCCCATTGCTATAATGTTAGGATAAATATCTAGATAGCAGAGTTAAGGAAATCTAGACTCTTTCTATGAAAACTGATATGGACAGGAGTAGTGGTCGACCGATATATCACCAAGGCCGATATATCGGCCGATATTTGACATTTTTCAAATATCGGCATCGGCCGACAAGTTTTTCTGTTTGGCCGATGCATTCGAGGCGGGATTTTTTATTTTGACGGCGCGACGGACTTTTATTTTGACGGTGCTGAGAGCGGCAGTGCCTGAACACACAGTGCTCACATTCTTCCTCTTGTTCGCCGTCGTCGTTAACAGTTCTGTCTAATACGGATAGAAGTCTGCCTAATAATCAGATAGAAAGGAAATTAAAATGTATACAAAGTATTATATTATTAGTAATAGAAAGGCAAACATTATAATACTTTCTCGTTTGCCGTCAGCATTCAGCAAATACGCATTTATATCATTTAAACAAATCTTTGAATGAATAATGAACATTTAATTTCACAAACCTTGCAAAC